TGGGAGGGGGAACGTAACTTTAAAGGTTATTTTCATAGAACGTGTCCTGTTTAGGGATCTTCTTCTGAATCTAACTGTCTACTACTTAAAGATGTGTATAATTCAGAAAAAAACAACCTGGATAACTACGTTGCAGCCTATCTGGAAGCATGCACTGCGGAGAAAATACTGCGTCACTATATTATTCGAATATTTTGAAAATTACTAAACGCAGAATACAATATTCAGAACTAAACTCATTAAAACGTCTCAGTAACTTGAGAGTTACTCATCCGAACAGCCACCTCCAAAGAACTATGAGGAATAGGCATCAAAATTACATTAGTTAAGATTAAGGTGGACCTCGAAAGGACTAATAATATGACAAAGCGAAGTATTTTTCACTGTTTACCAAATCGATCTATAAAAACGACGCAGGGGTTTTTCTCCTTCTGCAGAAGAACGACTGATATCAAGCATAAGCAATTTCATGTTTTCTAAAGTTCCTATCAAAAGTGAATTGTAAAGAGAAAAAGAGATGTAAACTTCAGCACCGGACAAGATTCCGTACGAATTTCTCCCAAATGTTTCCGGGGAATTGCCAGTGAGGTTTATCTACCTATGTCGATGCTCGTTTAAACTTCATTTTACTCTGGAACACTTCCTGTCGATTGGAAGCCGAAGCCGATAACTTATTTGCACAAAAGCAATAGCCGAAAGTCTGTGAAAATTTTCAGGCCCACATGCTTTACGTGCAACTTCGCTGAGAATAGAAGTGTTAATTCCTAGAGATTCAAAACTTTTTATACAACTGCTAACACGGATTCCGGAAGGGAAGACCCTGCAAGATAAATCAGTTATGGTATCCAAGTTCTCGAGGGCGAGCACGCGGCTGAAGTTACCATCACTGACCTGTTAACACCTTCCATACTGGAGACTACTCTACCGATTATAAATGATAGGAATCAGAGGTACCTTCCTCAAATGAATTTAAATCTTCCTTGTGGGTCACCACCCGTTTGTTTGCATGCGTGGCAGCCTGGACGCAGTACTACTCTGCTGACGCATCCTCTCTTCGTTCACCAAGCCTTTGGGTACCCGCGCGTCTTTTCCAGTCGCTGCATGACGCCTGTGCTGTCCTGTCTGCCTTACACTCCCCCGTCGGCTCGCTACCTGAGGCGCACCTAAGTTTGAGCCAATCGATGCGCACCGTCTTACTTGATTGGCTGCACACGCAATTTAGGAAATTCCGCATTGTAGGCTTCGCAGCAGCGGACACACACTCTC